AGCCTTCGGACATAGGCATATATCCCATATTTTTACTGGTTCCATCAACTAGTTAGTATGATTGATGGATATTGAGGCAGGTCATATGCAAGAATCAGCATGTTAAAAATGGGATGAGAATATGCATTACCCAAGAAAGATGATGGGGACAATCAAACTAACTCTGCATAAATAAATGTCATGACTAAGACTACGAATACCAAAAGAAGGAAAGTACTAGCCATTAATTCCATTTTTTAAACAAATACTAAACAGTTAAATACAGTAGCAAAAAACATTTAATGTTCCTCAAAAACTTCTTCAATGACTCCACTAATTACTGGTTGCTGCAACTAGGACTTGAGACTTTCTAATAAAACATTATATCGAGTAGGATATTACTCCAATCTGAAGATCAACTATGAATTATAAGAATAGCAGAAAAGGAATGCATGAGTTTTGTTCTCCATGCATGATTCTCGGATCCTAAAACCTTTTAGATGACTGTATTTTCTATCATGAAATTATTGAAATATAGATTTTACATAAACAATTATTTTGCTTTCGCTTGTTATCAAGTTATTGGCTCTACCAGACAATGAGAGCTCAACAAATTATGGCTGGTCATGGCACCTGTGAACAAGAATTTCATAGAATGCACCAAGGGAAAGAAAATCGGCCATTTCACTAATTCATTGAGATCCAAATGAAATTGGTCTTTATATCATAGTAGTTAGAACAGTTGACATAAAAGGTAATATTGCATGAGTCATTACAATGATGGGCTGATGGATATAGGCATGAACGTAGACGACTGTCAACAGACCATTAACTTCGAATGATACCAATTCACTGGAAAAGTTGCACACAAGTAATAAGTTAAAGACTCACCTAAAATACCCATGCATTTGCTTTTCCCCTCAGGGAGAAAATCACAAGATGGCGTGTCAAAATTCAAGAGAGTCAACCACTGACCTTTGAAGTATGTTTTTACTTTTGATCTTTACTAAGTAATCTTTAGTTGCAATTATGAGTAAATCTCTGATAGAAAATTCACCAAAAAAAAAAACAATATAAGCTTCCATCCGGTGATGTTATACTATGTGACATGGAGTGTTTTCAAAGAAGTTCCTATTCTTGCTGCTCCTTGGGTACAGAAAGGAAATTCATGAACTGATTTTACTTACACAAGGACACATTCTTTGATACTCTACAAGCGTCATAATATGGATAGCATGTCCACATCTTGTATTATTTACTTTCCAAGGTAAAAACAGTATAATTTGCAAAAACATAATAAATAATATAATTACATTACAAATGATATGTTTCAGAATAGAGAAGGTATTAATTAAGTTCCTAAATTGAAATTTTAAAGCAAAATGGGGATTTATCACCTATATCCAGTTGCTCAAATCAATATAAATCAATATTTGCAAAAATATTAACTAGTTATCTCAAGCTGCAAAATTAAAGGTATTTTGCAAAACTCAAAAGCAAGAAATGAATAGCAAACTTACATCTTTCCTATAGATGGCTCCTTGAAAGTATAGTAAAGTTGGGCGATCATCAAATCCCGCAGAATCATTGACAAAGGTTCTGATCATATGTCTATAAGGAACAATGACATCTTTCTGAACATTTGCTACATTTGGCGGGTACCTCCCAAAATCCGACAGAATAAACATGCAAGGCCAAAGCTTCATCCTTGCATTCAACATGCTATTTGGATGGTGAGCCATAATAACATGATCTCTTCCCCCTGATCTCTTCCATTCCTTTTGTTCCGTCAAATACTTCACTATCTTATCTTGCAACTCCTTATCCCTATTAACTTTCGTCTTCACTTTCTCTTTAGTGAACTTGTTATAACTCAGAGAAGAGAAGAAAGGCACAAACACAATATCCGCCTCTTTTGCATCCATAACTCTTACAGCAGAGCAAGGCCCGGGGCGATCAGGGAATCTCGATGAAAGGAGATCCAATGTAAGCCAATATTCAATGCTGTGTTGAAGATTCAAACCTCCAGGATAACCCGGGATTTTTTTAGCAATGTCAGGCCAAACACTGTTAGAATTTGGCTCTGGTTGCCAATCTAACATACCAAAGTGAAACTCAGGGGGCAAATCATACATGAAAACCTTCAACATTGCACTATTTGGATCACATTTTTTGACATCTGATTCTCTTGAGAGGGCATTTGGCCGCCGGCGAGCGGCAGCAACGCTTGCAGGTTCAGAGATGGAGAAGACCCTATTAGGGGTAGAAATGGAAAGTCTATGGTTATCAATGAGGCGAGAAGCGCCAGTGGAGTCCAAGAGAAGAACCCATGATACTAGGATCAATAATGTGGCCATGGCGAAGAGAAAGAAGAGGGATTTTCGGCAAGAAAGGTTTCTATCAGGCATTTTCTAATGTAATCAATCAACCAATCAATCAACACAGACCCATATTTGATGAAATGAAGAAGACCCGGATGGCAAAATTCATCAATCAACAAAACTTATCATGATTGTACACAGAAATCGATGATGCCCGTGGCCAAATTTGACCCATATTTCATGAAGTGAACAAGACCCAGATGACAAAATTCATCGATCAACAAAATTTATCATGATCGAGCACAAACTTGATGAAATGAAAGAGACCCAGGTGGTGTAATTGAGGGAAGATGGATAGGTGATATCAATTACCAAATAAATTGGAATTTGCCCAGATGAGATTGAGAAATCCCAAGCCTGGTTGTTGTTGCTGCTGCTGCTGCTGTCGGTGATGTTTCTCTTTCTTTGGTTTGTTTGAGAAGCATAAATTTTGGTTCGAGGAAAAAAAAAACAAACCTTAGTTTTGCTTTCCGAGAGGTTGAGAGGGATTTTCGAGGTCTCTCTTGATCTTGTAACCTCTGAGGGAGTGATCTTGGGCTTGGCACGTGAGGGAGTCGGTGAGCAGAATGACGCAGGATGGAAAAATTTTTTTGGCTTAATTGCACTTAAATACCCTGTAGTTTCTCCTACTTTGCACTTAGATACCCCTCACTTGATTTTGGCAGCACTTATATAACCTAAAGTTTTTAAAACTTACACTTATGTAACTTCACTTAGTTTTTGGTAACACTTATATACCCTAAAATTTTTTAAACTTGCACTTAAGTACCTAACATTTTTCAAACTTGCACTTGAATATCCTAAAGTTTAGCATTTAAATATCCTCATTTACGCAAATGCGAGAATTTCTCCATGAAAATTTTCATGCGACAATCGCATGCTAACTTTAGAATATCTTTTAACTCTCGATATTTGTTAAGTACAATATTAGATATAGCTGTTGATGTCCAACAAGAGTCAGCAACGAGATTAGCAGATAATCCCGAGTTAATGATGGGGTTTAGAGTGTATATGGACGATGTGGGTCCACTCATCTTCTTAGACGGTTGATCCCCTATTTGGGATAAGAGACCTGCAAAATAAGCATGTTAGACAATCGGAGTTGGGTTCTCTAGTGATTCCTCCGACGATCAAGTCAGTATAGAGCTTGAATGAGGAACCAATGATCTGAGAGTATCTAAGTATAAGTTTTAAAAACTTTAGGATTAGAATATAAAAGTGCAAAATTTAAAAACCTTAGGGTATCTGAGTGCTATTGAGGGTATATAAGTGCAACTTTTAAAAACACTAGAATATATTTGTGCTGCTAAAAATAAATAAAGATATATGAGGGCATAGTAGGCGTAACTATAGGGTCTTTAGGTGTAATTAAGCTGTTTTTTTATTCATTGTGGAAATTTAGTAACGGTTCAAGTTTCACGGGATCAATGTAATATATTTAAAGAATTATTAATGTTTGTACTTTGCTATTTATGTCTCGTATTAATATTATTGTTGTTGTGTTAGTTTGACACGTCACACGTGAGGGAGCGGTGCGTAGAAAAATAGGGGCGGGGGGTGGGGGTGTGGGGTTGTCTTGAATTTGGTCTATATCCGTGGGCAGAATCGATATTTGATCATTTGGAATTGGTAATATGACAATTTGGTCATCTTTGTTCAACCGAAACGTGATTAGGTTGCAACTTAAGTCATATAAAATAGTAAAACGGGGTTCACCATGAGTATCTGTTAGTCTATTAGACCCTAATGCTACTAGGAAAGTACCCCAGAAGGAGGTGAATAGGGTTTATGCTAATCTAATCCGATTTAATGCCAATTAAAAACTAATTAATAAATATCCTAGCAAATTAGATATGTGACAAGATATATATGCAAGGATATACAAATAACACAATGGTGAAATAAACTAATGCAAACAATATAGTGGATAAATTAGATAATGAGAGAATGGCGATAGAGATAAACATAATATAAGTGCACAAGCCAAACTCAAACACACAAGAAATGATCACGGAGTTCGGACCTTCCATCCTACGTCTCCGCTCCCCACTCCCGAGGAGAATCCACTATACAATTGGGTTTTCAACGCTCACCTGAATAACGTTTGCACCACACAATATCGGTTTTTAACGCTCACCGATCAACGTTCACAATCACTCACAATGTAACTACACAACTACCACCTCAAGTGTTGACCTCTCACGTGTCTTCCTCAAGTGCTCGGATTTATAACCTCTCCCTAGGCTTTACAACAGACGCCACTCCTCTTGGGACCGACCACGTCTCTCACCTCTACACTCCTCTTGGTGTACTTGTGCAATACAATGTGACCCTCACAAATTAAAGCTCAACAACAAATGATTGTTCTCTAAATAATATGAAAACTCAATTAAGCCCAACTCTATGTTACAATCTCACAACCCCAAATATACTATGTATGAAAATACTAAAAGCTCAATGTGGGTGTGTGTAACAAAGAGATAAAACAAATATAAACTCAAATAAAATCTAGCTTATGGAAATTAAAATCAAAATAATAAATAGCTAGAATGAGTTTAGAAAAACTTCTTTATGATGACAAGAGAGAGAGAAGGAGAAGAGTTGAATGCTCAAACACTAAATGATGATCTCCTCAAGCTCTTGTGAAATTTTTTTCACAAACCAAACTCTTAAACACACTTTTAAAACCTTTAAACAAACTTGTAAAATTCTTTAAAACTTTTCTCTTGGTAAAAATGAACTGAGGATATGTGGGGGTATTTATAGAAAACTCCAAAGGTAAGAGAAAACAAGGCAAAAAGACCAAAAACCCAAAACAAATAAAAGCTGAAAAAAAACTAGCCGTTACAGCATCAGACGACTGACAAGTTCAATTAGTCGACTGATGAGCTGACCGTTACAGGCAACTCACAGCTCATCAGTCGACTGAAGACCTCATCAGTCGACTGATCAGCCGACAGAAAAAAACAGAAACTTTTTGCAATTCTAGACGATTTCTTTAGTCGATTGAACACTTGCATCCGTCGACTGATAACATAATATCAGCCTGTTTTAAATAGTAAAACTAATATTTAAATTGCTTTTAAAAATAGTAAATAAATTCAGAAAAATGTAAAACTTTGTAAAATATTTATAAACATGATAATAAACATGTTACAAAAGGAATTTTTAGAATTGCACTTCCCAATTGTAAAATCTTATCATTTTTTAAAACTAGTCCAAAACATAAAAATACAAAACACATGTTTTTGTCATTTTGACTTAAATAAACTTTTAAAACTTTATAAAATTATTTTATAGACTTGACATAAAATATAAATTGTTGTTGTTAAGTCTATAAACAAGAAATACAATATTTTCTCAAAATTATATATTTTATTCATTCTTTCAAAACCAATGAACATGAATTCATACCAAACACATATAAATATGAAGCCCAAATGTATTTTCTAATTATATTCATTTGTTTCATATTTAAACTAGAAAACCATAAAACCAAAATGTGTGTATATATAACTATATATATACATAGAAACCAACAAAATATGTGTGTATATGATATTAAGCTTAAAGTACCAACACACATAATATAACCCCTAAACTAATTACACAAGCTTGAAGAAGGTCTTCAATGAGCACGACTTGGTAAACTAGTGGATGAAGCTTGAACTTGAATCTTTAACTTGGATTGCATTGCTTCATTCCACTATTCCGCCAACCTCCATTGGATATGATCGTTGAAGCGTAATTCCATCCAACCTCCAACTCATTGTTTGTCTAGAATAAATATGAAAACACAAACACTAGACAAACAATATTAGTTGTAAATTGTTTGTTAAAACATCATCAAAACAAAAAGGCCAACATAATCAAGACTGTTAGGAGGTTTCAATACGGTTCCATAGTCTTGAGTTTAATTCCAAACTCGGTTGTTAAAAACAAATACTTAAATAGGGACAAAGGTGGTATGTGTGGGAGCATTCTATGTTAGTATTGAGTGTACAAAGGAGGTATGTGTGGGAGCATTCTATGTTAGTATTGAGTGTGGAGTCTTGGAGAGAAAAGAAAGTGAGCGAGCAAATAGGATTTGAAGCTTATTATTTAATTGATTTGTCCATCATTTCACATCATCTTATATATCTAGGGTAGATCTCGCCCATGTTGATTAGAAGAAATTTGTAAATCAAAAGCTTGTGAAGTTATCCTTGGATTTTTCTCGTTCTGTCTTTTCATTGGAGTTGCATTAAGTGATTCTATATATTGTTCTCAAAGATCAAATATATATTTTGTCACCCTCGATTAGGGCTATCCATTTTACCCGCTGGCCCGGGCCCGGCCGGGCCGCGGCCCGTCTGTCTTTTCATTGGAGTTGCATTAAGTGATTCTATATATTGTTCTCAAAGATCAAATATATATTTTGTCACCCTCGATTAGGGCTATCCATTTTACCCGCTGGCCCGGGCCCGGCCGGGCCGCGGCCCGGCCCGGCCCGGCCGCGGCCCGGAAAACCGGGCCAGGCCGGGTTCCGGGCCCGGGTCCGGGTGGCCTCAGCGGCGCCCGGCCCGGGCCCGACCCGGCCCGGAACAGGGCCGGAGCGGGTGACGTCACCAAGGATGAACACGGTAGGATCCTCACCCAGAAGGCTAAGTGTGCTTTGTGCGGCAAGATTTTTCAAGCTCATCATAAGAGCGGCACCAACCACCTCAAACGCCATTTAGATAAACACAACAAAGGCCAGCCTCCTCAAGGTGATATCCGACAATCCATGATTTCTCAATCCTCCTCTTCTGGTAGTCTCGGTAGTTGGAACTATGACGCTGCCAGAGCCAGGAAATGCGTAATCAGGTTTATCATTCTTAAAAACCTTCCTTTTAAATTAGTAGAAGATGATGAATTTGAAGATATGTTTAGAGATGGTTTTTATCCTGCATTTAAAAAATTTTCTCGTCAAACCTGTCAACGTGATATTTTAAAATATTATCAGCAAGAACAAGAAAAAATAATTTCTTATTTTAAAAATTTAAACTGTAAATTTTCTTTAACTTCTGATATTTGGACATCTAGAGCACAAACTGGATATTTATGTATCACAGCACACTGGATTGATGAAAATTGGCAAATGTTTAAAAGAGTTGTTTCTTTTATTGCAATAGAAGAGTCACATACTGGTGCTAATGTTGCAAATTTAATAATTGAAGAACTTATGAAATTAGAAATTTCACAAAGAATATTTTCTCTTTCACTAGATAATGCAAGTAATAACAATGTAGCTGTTGATTTTATCAGATCATCTTTATCATTGCCATGTCATGGTGATCTTTTTCATATTAGGTGCATCTGTCATATTTTAAATTTAATTGTTCAAAGTGCATTTACTGAAATTAAACCCATGATAGAAAAGGTTAGAACAGTTGCTTACATGCATAGTGCTTCTGAACAAAGACTTAAAAGATGGAAACAATTTTGTAAAAGAAAAAATGTAAAGCCTAGACTAATTCCAAAAGATGTTGACCATAGGT